AATTCAGAATTAATCTACAATGTTTCTTTGCCGAACCTCATGTTATATAGCGGACCTATATTATTAACTATTAGAGGAAATTTGTATTTTACATGCATAAATATGCTCATAAACATTTGAATAGCTTATACAATTTATTTATTTTATCTTATTCTTTACTGTCATGACTAAGGGTTGTAGAAATGGCATTATTTGGGTAAAGTTGGTGTAAGATTGCTTTCCCTTTAAGATTGCCAAACAGAAATACTTAAAATGGTATAAAATTATATTTACATAGTTTAAATTTCCACTCCCAAAGTTAGGTAGGAGACTAGATGTACTTCCGCAGGGACCCCGAAAGTGTTCTTTTTCAAGAGTAATTAAAACCAAAAATAAGAGTAACAAATATTATTTGTTCGTTTTGAAATTCCTACGTCATGCTGTATTGTAGCCTACAGGTTGCATAATTATTCTCGTGATTCATTGCATGCGCACGTTTTACTGATGTCACGACACTACAAATTGCAACATTAAAACGTCCCTTATGTGATGTCATTTTAGTGTTTACTGACTGACTGAGAGACAACACACTACTGTACAGTGGTGTGAGTGTTTAAAATAGGTGACCACTCGTGACGGCCTTCGGCCCCCTTTCTGGGAATAATTCTACCTTTCTGGTACTATATTTTCACAATCGTGAATTATAACGAGTAAAAAATAGAAATTTTAAACTGTAATATGAGTGAAAATGACAAACAAATTAAGAAGTGAAAGACGATAAGACACTATATACATTAAAATAAATTTTATTTCTGTTTCAAAAATTTATAAAACCGTCGATCACTACTAATTTTTATACACATATTAAATACGATTAAATCAATTTTGTATACAAAAATCTCGTCTTTATAGAAGATCATTTGTTTTATGCCCAAACAGCATTATTCCATTCAGTAATAGAAAAAAACCTACAACTATAACGTTATTACATTCAAAATATTCACTTATTTTTTCAACTTTTTAGATTTTTAAAGCTATATGTCCATATACAATGTTCGAAAGTTTGCAGGTATCCTAAATAAATAAAATCTCATTAGTCACATAATTCAACATATTAACACACAGTTTAATCGATGCGTAAAATATAAGTTTTATTAACTATTTCTCTCAGAATTTTTAATATACTGTTTAACGCCATGCATTTGATTAAATTCATAGAATAATATATGTATTAAGATAAATGTACTGAATAGATATAACGGATTAAGAACGTTCACAAATTTAATTTACATGTAAGCTTTTTAACTAAATGACCAACAAGTCTAATTGATTATTCGCTTAGTTACTTAGACTCACAAACAACAAATTTATTACTAGTTTTCTTATTTGTTTACCAGGGGGGGGGGCTGTAAATTACTACTGTACGAAACCTAGAAAAAAAAAATTTGATTTTGTTCCACCGTTTGCTCCAACTCTTCAAAAATATTCTATAATAGGTTATAGGTTATAAAATATCCAATAAAAGCTAACTTTCGGGACGTACGAATACTTACACTTTATCGTGCAGTTTTCTTTAAAAAGATGAATGTCGGAAATTTCTAGCACTCCAATCTTCGTGTCTGTTTCATAAGCAAATCGTAACTGAAATTGTTAAATACCATTTGAATCGTTTCGGTTCTTTGAAGAAATTAAAATATGTCTTTCCAAAAAAATGAGCCCCCCAGTGGCACAGCGGACTTACAACGCTAAACTCCGTGTTTCGATACCCGTGGTGGACAGAGCACAGATAGCCCATTGTGTAGCTTTGTGCTTAGCTTCAAACAAACAAACAAAACCATAAAATGAGCATTATAAACACTAAATTAGTTTTGGCACAACATATATTGTTTGTTTGTAATTCAGCACAAAGATACACAATGGGCTATCTCTGCTCTGCCCACCCCGGGTATCGAAACCCGAATTCTAGCGTTGTAAGTCTGCAGACATACCGCTGTACCACTGGGGGGCCACACCATATATCTTGATAAACACAGATGTTAACACATCAAATTAAATTAGACCAAAAACAATGTTCTCACAGTGTGAGAAATTATATTAATTATCAAATGTATAATACATTCACGCCAAAGGAACTAACATGAAAACGAAAGTACTTTGTGCTATGTTTGAGTACCCAACATATAATGCACATGTATTAGATCACTCTTAAGCTTTGGTTTATTTTCTTAACAGTTTATATGAAATGTGACAAGAGAAATTACAAGGAAGATTCTGTAATAGAAATAATTTCAGTTAGCTTTTTTTTTGTATGCTTTAAATCAGAGCCCTGGATTTTAGTGTTGTAAGTTAGTATACTTACCGTTGACACACCAGTGAACGTTCATGTAGCTATATAATCTACTAGCTGAATTACTCGGTGTTGCACGGTGAAAATTTAGATTTGAAATGTATAGATCAGTATTTTTTTCAGCAAGTTAATCAGTAAGTAGACAAAAGCTGTGATACGAGAAATAAAAAAGCATTTAATCAAATAAAGCTTTATTTTAAATTAGAACTTACGATACTTCTTTATATACAACATTGCATGTTTTTCCAAAAGGAGAGTATACATAAAGACTGTTAGCTGTTCCTACTCTAGAGCATCCTACATACAGTTGACCATGAGAGAAGCAGTCTTCTTGTAATTGTAGCCCAATAACTTTCACTGTTTGTCTCTGTGATTTGTTGATCGACTTGGCAAATCTTAATCTTACTGGAAATTGTAAGCGCCTAAACTGAAACGGCATCTCTGATGTTATTAGAGGTATCCTAGGAATAAAAGTATCTTCAACCTGGCCACAACCATTTTGAAATTGTGCTTCAATGACATGAGGCTGTAATGCCTTTATTATTAATCTGGTACCATTGCAGAGCTTAGGCTGATCTAAATTTCGTAGAAGCATTATAGGAGCTTCAACTTTAAGTTGTAGTTGGTGAGGAGGCAATCCTGGAAATTCCAAAGAATTTAGAAACTCCGTTTTGATCGATAACTGTATCAATTGGTTTGTAAATATAAGGAATACCTGGAATATTTTGGAGGAGTTTTTGGTTGATAGAATTAACTGTCATATTTTTCGGTGCCAAAATTGCTCTTTCACACAACCAAGTAAAGTCTTTGTAGTGATAACTAAAGTTAGTAAATACTTTTTCTGTTAATTCATTAACACTTTGGACCACTGTGCTGATTGTACATATAATGACTTTGTCGTCATGGTAAAAAAAAAATGTATTACAAAAATGGCGCAATAATCATTAATTGTCAATTTCGTCATTAAATACTATACGAAACACAAAATGAATAGCACCATTAAATTTCTTGTAAAAAAAACTGGTTATTATGAAGTTATTTTAAAATTTGTAAGTTCAACAGTTTGGTTTCCTATAGCGAATAAATAAACAAACTTCCTCTTTTATATATATAGATTAGACTTTCTTATACGCTAACCCTCGAATTTAATACATTCTTTTATTAAATAAAGACAGATTAACACTGCTAAAGCATATTAATTTTCTATCCACTTTTAAATTAACGATGGCTTAAAACTTACCACAAATTTCTTATCCAAATGTTGAACTGTTCTAAGCCTCCTTGCCATCTTCTTCACTGTCGAAAATTTATCAACTACTGTTATTTCAAATGGGCGCATTATAGTGTCTACTATAACGGTAAGGTTCTCCATACCTTGATAACTGACATCGTAGCTTAAGCATGACGAACCTTTCGCTTCAAATTTGTCAACATTCAGTAAAAGAGCAGCAACTACAGGATACCCGTTTGTAGATTCCGTTACTGGACAGGACAGAATTTTTAAAGTTTCTAGGTGGGGGATTTCAATGCCTGAATATTCTAAAAAAAATTTCGTATGTGTATAATACTAAAATATGTCCTGTTGAATTAGAAGTGGAGAATACACACAGTATTTGATACACAAATGCATAAGAAATAATTTGGTTGAAATAAATATTTTTGATAAATATACATAATTCTATTTCAAAATTTATAGACTCCCATTACCTACTGCTATAGTTGATTGTTTAGAATTTCGCGCAAAGCTACACGAGGACTATCTGTGCTAGCCGTCCCTAATTCAGCAGTGTAAGACTATAGGGAAAGCAGATAGTCATTATCACCCGCTTGGGCTACTCTTTTACCAACGAATAGTGGGATTGACTGTTACATTATAACGCCCCCACGGCTGAAAGGGCGAGCATGTTTGGTGTGACGGGGATTCGAACCCCATGCCGAGCCCCTACTGTTATAACATGTCTTCATCATTGATAGATTGTTTAGACAGAGTATTCATAATGAATCTAGGTTCCAAATGGACAGCAACTGCCTGTTGTAGAAACCTACTAATGTAGAGGACGACGTTTCGAAAGTCTTCCGCCTTTCGTTATATTAAAAAAGTGGCACGATAATGTTATAATTTACGATTCTCCACCTAAATTTGGAGCATACTTCACGACTGGCTAAATGTATTGCCAAATGCTCTTCTTGAAACGAGTACAATCGAATAAATTATACTCAGAACGAGAGGATATTGAAAATATTAAGATATTTATTACATTAATAACTATTTGATCTGCTGGCTTTTAAGTTTATTTACAAACGTTTCTATTATGTGTAGATAACATTTCACTTATAACATATACTTTATGTTCGCAAACACCATTAAATAACTTTACACCATTATAAACATGACCTTCAGTTGTACACTACATATTCAATAATGTTTAACTTATACTCTTGTTAAACAAAGTTGTTACACTTACCACACGACTGACCATCAGACTTTAAAGTGCTGTTAGTTGGACAACTGCAAATTGGACCTGTTTCACTATTTGAACAGGTGTGTTGACATCCCCCATTGTCAAGCTCACAAGTTTTTTGGCATATATTATTTTTCAGTGTATAGCCAGGAAAACACGCACATGCGTATTTCGAATGTCCAATATCACAGTAATGATCACACACCTCGTCACACCAATTCTTCTCTGTAGAAGAATAATTCTTTATTAATCAGATAAGAAGTACATGTAGGTAAGAATTTAGAGAACACTCTTGTATACAGTATAGTCACATTAACCTTTTTTTTCTTAGTTTAAAATCACTAAACTAGAAATAGATTATGTACGTCAGATAAAATTACTATACACATATACAGTATATATAAGAGCAGTAAAGCAAAATGCAAACCTCCTCGAATGCAAAATATAAATTTGTGTTTTTTTTTATAAATGTAGTATTATAATGTTTCAGTTTGTTTCTCTTTTTAGAATATAAATTAATTATATCTTTTGGTTGT